CCCTCCTCCCTCGTCCTTTGCTGTTGCACCTCCTCCGTTCTCTGACTACCTCCGTGCTGCTCGTCCCCTTGTCCCTCGGGTCCTTGCCTCTCTTGTTACCGACCCTGCTGTTCCTGTCTCGCGCCTTGACGCGCTTGTCGCTGCTGTCGCTGACTTTGCCTCTACCCGCCGCCTTGACTACACTACCGCTCTGGTCTCTGACCCTGCCCGTCCTCCGTCCGTCGGGGGTGCTCCTGCCCTTGGCAGTGACGTCCTAGAGGACAGGCAGTACGAGCTGGCTTTCCTGTCCGAGGCTGCTCCCCATCTCTGCTCCATGCTTTTAGTCCCTGAGGGTGACCCAGACGCCTTCGACATCCCGACCCCTCGCACCTACGCTCAGGCCACCTCGGGACCTTGGGCCTCTCAGTGGATAGCTGCCATGGAGCAGGAGATGGCATCTTGGAGGTCCACCGGCACTTACGTCGACGCAGTTCCCCCGCCTGGGGTGAACGTAGTCGATGGTCGGTGGCTCTTCAAGGTGAAGCGCCCCCCTGGAGAGCCGCTTGTCTTCAAGGCGCGCTACGTGGCCAGAGGTTTCAGTCAGCGCGAGGGGGTTGACTTCTTCCAGACCTTCGCCCCGACCCCGAAGATGACCACTCTTCGGGCGCTGCTACACGTAGCAGCTCAGCGCGACTACGAGCTTCACTCCCTCGACTTCTCTACTGCCTTTCTTCAGGGCAGCCTACACAAGCAGGTCTACCTGCGCCGACCACAGGGCTTCACTGGTACCTTCCCTCCTGGGACCCAGTGGCTTCTCAGGCGCCCGGTCTACGGCCTGCGTCAGGCTCCCCACGAGTGGCACGACACGCTACGTGCCACGTTAGCAGACCTGCAGTTCTTTCCGTCCTCTGCTGACCCTTCACTGTTTGTGCGTTCCGGCCAGACTCCGTTCTACATCCTTGTCTACGTAGACGACCTGGTCTTCGCTACTCCTGACAGGGACGCACTGGCCTCTGTGAAGACTGAGCTGCTGCAGAGACACACCTGCACTGATCTTGGAGAGCTGCGTCGCTATCTTGGCCTGCAGATCTCCAGGGACAGAGCAGCACGCACCATCACTTTGACCCAGTCACACTTGGTGCGTCAGGTCCTTCAGAGGTTCGGTCTTCAGTTCTCCTCTGCACAGCCCACACCTCTACCTGTAGACCACGGGCTTTCCGCTCCTGTTCCTGAGGAGTCAGTAGAGCCCAGCAGCCCCTACGCAGAGCTGGTGGGTTGCCTCATGTACCTGATGACTTGCACTCGCCCAGATCTCGCATACCCTCTCAGCATCCTGGCTCGCTTTGTGGCCACTGGCAGACACCGACCACAGCACTGGTCGGCAGCCAAGAGGGTTTTGCGATATCTAGCAAGTACATCAGGCATGGGGTTAGTGTTGGGAGGACGCAGGCCAGTGGTCCTCACTGGGCACACAGACGCTTCTTGGGCAGACGACTCTGAGACGCTCAGGTCGTCACAGGGCTACTGTTTTAGCCTTGGTTCGGGTGCTATCTCTTGGAGATCCACTCGCTCGTCGTCTGTTGCTCAGTCGAGCTGTGAGGCTGAGATCTACGCTGGTGCCATGGCGGCACAGGAGCTCCGCTGGCTGACTTTCTTGCTCACAGACTTAGGTGAGCGGCCTAGCTCTGCCCCGGTCCTGTATGCTGACAACAGGGCCATGATACTCCTATGTCAGGAGCCTCGACTTGAGGGCAGAGCGAAGCACATTCAGCTGCGGTACTTCCTCCTGCGCGAGCTACAGCAGCGTCGCCAGGCCCGCGTAGTTCACTTGGCCTCTGGTGCCAACACATCTGATATCTTTACGAAGGCGCTTGCGCCTAAAGATCATCAGCGGCACTGTGTACAGCTTGGTCTAGTTCCTGTAGCCTCTCACTTGCTAGGACCTTGACTTTGTACTGTCCTATATACATCTATCTATATGTACTCAGACTGGACTTGTGTCCTTTCCTAGTGGCCGGACTAGCAGTGCCGCCCTGGTCTTGTTCTTGTCTTGCCTGTACTCCTTTTGACTGGTCTTTAGACCCTTGTCTCAGTGGCTGGACTAGTAGTGCCGCCCTGAGCTGCTTGTTCAGGATTTGCCCCTAGGCAGTCTAGGGGGTGTGTCAAATATATGTATAACTCATATTTGTATAAACTGTATAGGGTCACCTCTTAGAGGGTACAACACTCTTAGGTATATACACTTGTTCTCTCCCTCTATCCAATCATTCAGTTTTTCTTTGAGAATTTTGTCCAGACTTCTGAAGCCCTGGACGAGAAGCTTGTTACGGTGAAGTAAAATTCCCGTATTTTCGGAGTCGTGTAAAACGTCTCCAATTTGTGTTGCCTCAATTGTCTCATTGTTGGCCGTTGTAATGTTGTATTTTTCTCCCTTTAGCAGGCCTCGCCAATTGAGAAGATAGCGATTTGAAGACGCCGTGTGTTGACCGCAACAACTGGCAAGAAACCAAGTATTAATGTGCCCGTGATATGCACGCTTGGCGATATGAGCGTACGGCTGCACGTTCAAACGTTGAGGAAAGTCATTGGACTGAACTCGTGGTTCTTCTATAGTTGACGCACCCAAGACTCAGGAGAGGGGCAAAGACGTGGAGGTATTTTGAGACAATTTTCAATTCATGTACTCATATCAGGTGAGCTCATTTGCTATTATTGGGATAGCACATCCTGCCCACTGTTATGAATGGAACTACTGAGTAGCACGGAGGGCAATGGCGAAACTGTGAACAAGTGAATGACAATAGAATGAAAGACAATACAATACTTAGGAAACCTAGGGCGATCCTGGACATAGGAACGGAAGGTTCAGGAAAAGTGTCGAAGGGCCTCGATGTGTCGAAGCGAGGCCCGGAAAGGCCCAAGAGGCTCGAACTGAAAGGTCTGGAACCCTTTCGCTGGTTCGCGAGTGTTATGAGTCGTACGCCTTGTAGCAAGCCTCAGTTAAAGCCCGTGGTTATAATAGCAATCAAGAGGGCTGTTTAATTTGCTCTTGAACTTGGCACATGACGATCTTTAGAGTAAACAAAACAGAATAAAAACATTTCGTTTTGCAAAGCAGAATCTGACCGTGGCGGTTTGGCAACAGTTTTTGCACGAAACCATTCGGTGAACAGTGCGATACGCGTCGTGCGACCGAATTCGTGGTTCCGTGAACAGTGAAAATGCGAGGCGACCAGTGTTTTTTGGCGAACAGTAGCTGATTCTGGAATTGCAGACCTGGAAATCACTTGAATTCCCCAGTCATAAAGCGCCTGTATTTCCTCGTCGCAAGCTGCTCGCTCAAACCGGTCGTAGAAACTCCATGCGATGCACACTGTGTTTTTGCGCAATTCGCATCCAAATGACCGTGTTGCAACAAACAGCAAAACGAGTTCTTTCGCCATTCCTCCAATCAGCAAGCTCGACCAGAATTTGTTTCGACGCACTTTTCTTGTTCAGGCTTGAACTCAAAGCTGCCTTCCATTCTAGACTTAGACGGATTTCAAAGCACCAAATTCAAGTGGTTTCCAGGTCTGCTATTTTAGCCGCGGGCTTTAAGGAATTTCTAATTCCTCACACCCACTCTGTTCCCTACACGGGACAGCCGCCTACTAGCGGGCGCGAGGGCGTGTTTCTCGCTCCCAGTCGCCGGCATTCGTTTGAAACCCTTCTTCCTCGTCCTTCAGAAATCTGAATGCCCCTGCCATCCAGATATACGCGTGCTCCACGTCGAGCCAAAGTCACCACGTCATACAGTATCATAGGTCCGAGTCGCAAGTTCGTGGCAATGCGTCGTTGGTTCACAAGCAATTCCACAGCTCACAGCGCAGCCACCACGAGGAGGTTAGGTTGCCTGATTTGTTTGAGGATTTTGTCAGGGGCAAATACTGGTTCGACATCACAATTTATAGCAGGTTGTCAATATATAGTACTAGGTAAGTCAATTCATCAAGCCTTGTTTCAATGCATTCGTAAGTATTTTCAGGGCGTATAATTCACATATGTATGTTAAATCATTTATTGATAATAATGATTCATTAATGACCTAATTGTATTATAATATTCTTCTGTATGCTATCTTGCAGATTTAACCACCATGAATGGCACCAAATACCTTTCCATAGTATTCTAAATTATTGCTATAGTTAGTATAGTCCAATAACCAGTTCCTTTGGGCTACATTTTGCCGCTCACTTTTACATTTTGCCCTTGGGAATGTACCATTTCCATGTCGGCCCTCCGTGCAGCATTCTTGGAGCTGTGCACTTTTCGTCGTAAGGTAGGGGAGTGGAGATCTGTACAGTACTGAAGGAGTGGATTAGATCTAGGGCCCCGGTATAAGACAGTAGCAAAGTTACCGGATCGTCCGATCAGGGGACACCTGAGGGACTATTTTACCCTAAGACTTTTCTGTACGAAGTGCACTCTCTAAGTTTCCCTATGGAGAGATGGCTCGGGCGGACTTGGTACCTGGTCTTCCCATTCTGACAAATGAGTTCGTAACACGTCTTGTATCCGAGGAGACAATGAAACCACACCAGGTGACAGGCCGAACAGCCAGGAGATTTGGCATTACTGATCTGTTAGAGCTGTTTCCGTATGAATCAACTTCTTGGCCTCGGCGTGTACAAGGAAATTGGGAAGTTCACTACATTCAGGGCATTTTCTATGCCAGTCGAACAAAACGACAGGCTGTGGTGCAGCTTGCAAGCAATATTCTCCAAGGTGCGATGTACAGTACAGTACCAAGTTGCACTGCCATAAGATCAGCTATGAGGTGGGAAGATATCGGCGAAACCCGCGAAAACAGCTGAAATGTAACCTCAAGGACGAGTGTAATGTGTCGACCACACAAATCGCAGGAATCGCGATTTGCTTGCCTTCTTCTGTAAGTGATGTTCTTAGGGAAGGGCATTCCCCACCATTCGTGGCAGCTACGCAACGTCAACATCCCACCCAAGTCCTGTCCGATCCGACCATTTTGGACAGCGACTCCTTGTGCATTCGCTGTTCGCACAATCAGAGCCGAGCACGCGAGAATCAAGGCGATCCGACTCCTGCCATTCTCGTCTCATGTGCCTGTCCTTCGTCACAGCGCCCTTGATAACTCCACTCCACTTCCTCTGCTAGCTTCAGCGTGGGTGGTGGTGGTGGTGGTAGTGGGCTGCACCGAGGTAAGGTGGGAATGAACAGCTGCATGCATCGGGATCTTTCAGATGTAGCTAGTCTTAGAGTGGCGATTGTCCGCGCCTGGGGTGTTCGTTACCCTCAGAGGCTATGGCTGCCTTAGGGCAAGTTAGGCGATTTCATAGCCTTGCCGTTAGGTCTTCGTGGTGTAGGTAGAAAGCAGTGGCCTTTCGTCCTTAGCTTCTGGTACGTCTCAATTGGGTGGACAATTGCTAGCTAATTAGGCCATCCACCGGGTTACCGTGTACATTCATTACAGACGTCTGCCCGCACTAACGATTCCATCTCTAGTATCTTCTCTTCCCCTACTAGGGGGTCCCTCCTCCATCTCTCCTCGTTCACCCAGGCTCTCCTCCCCTCCTCCCCTCTCTACCCCCCTCTCTTTCTCTCACTCACTCCCGTCTCCTCCCCTCCCCCTCCCGTCTGGCCGCCGTCCTTCTCCCTTCTTTCCGCCTCTTTCTCCACCGTTCTTTCTTTCACCCCCTTCCCCCCCAATCACGCTCGTTCTCTCGCTCTCTCCTCCCTATCGCTCTCTTTCCTGGTCTTTCTCCCTAGATAGATCCTAATTAAAGCCAATCAAGACTTGATTCTCCTAAAGGGTACCACTAAGAAAGGACGCTGCGTGCTCAGCACACGATCTTTTAAAACTGCTCTGCGCAAGCCCTACTCTTGCCCCCTCCCATCAGCGCTTGCAGTTTTCTGCCTCCTAATTTCCTCTTAGGGGAGCATTCCATAGCTCCTTATTCCTTACTAGTAACCCTCCCTCACGCTCTCTGCTCTCTGTCTCCCTCCCTCCACCCCTCTCCCTTCTTTCCCCTCCTGCTCCTGTTTCCTTCTCTTACGCCCTTCCCCACCCCTCACCTGCCCTCTTACATCGGCTTCTTTCTCTCTTACCCTTACTCCTTACTCTTCTCTTTTCCTCCCGGGGTTCCCCACTTCACCCTTCCAGTCTTCAGTCGCCGTCTTCAGTCGCCATCTCGGTGATCTCGGCTCGGCCCGCCGTACCGACGTCAGTCGCGCAGTTAGTGTTCGTGACGGATTCCGTCAGCTGCTGCGACACCTGTCGTCAGACTAACCAACGCGCAACCTTCAGCAACGTTCAGTCACCTTGAGCGACCTTCATCAACCTTGAGCAACCTTTGAGCAAGATCGGGAGCACAAGCTGAAACAGGGAAATTCAGTCTTGGCTTTTCTTCCGCGATAGTAACAGCTGCCCTGCTGCATACCTGTCTTGCGGTTATCGGAGCCCTGTGGTTCCCCCCTTTCATCTCCTCTCTGCCGCTCTTTCCGCTCTCCCTCTCCGCGGTCCCTTGCGCCTTCGCCCGCGCGCGCGCGACCCGTGCGCCGCTGCCCTGTCCGTCCGCCCGAACGCGCTCTCCGCGTGGTCTGCGTGGGCGCGCTGGCCCCCTGTCTGCGCGCGCTGCTGTCCGTCGGTGCGGGCGCGGTGGCGAACACGGATTCCGCTGGGGCGCACGTTGCCAAGCGGCGGAAGGTTCAGGGCGGAGGGTGGAGCAAGGGGCAGGGAAGTGAGCGCTCCACAGATCCAGACGCCCGGGGTGGGGTGGGAGATGGTGATGCTGCCGCTGCTGCCGGCAGTGCTGCTGCAAGGCCGAAAGCGGTGATCTTGCAGCCAGCGGACAGGGAAGGAGGAGGAGGAAGAGGAGGAGGAGGAGGAGGAGAAAGCAGGGGGGCGGAGGGGGAGAGGAGGCGGGCGGGCGAGGCCGAGGCGGGGGAAAGGGGGGGGAAAGAAGTGCTGGGTGTTGGGGGAGAGGAGGGTGATCTTCTGAGAAGAGGCGCGGAAGCAGGGGGGCGGTGGGAGGGGGGGCGTAGTGGTACAGGAGCGTCGGTAGGCGGAGCAGCAGCCCTTGTATCAGCCCCACCTGGTGGTGCTGCTGCTGGTGCGGCCTCAGGTGGCCTTTCTGCTGCTGCTGCTGCTGCTGCGCAGTTGATGCCGCTCCCGTCGTCCCCTAGCTGTGTGGAAGTGGTACGGCGTGAATTGGTTTGGGGCGGTGCTGAGCGGCGCGCACCTGCTGCTGCTGCTGCTGCTCCGTGCGACGCTGGCGCTGCTGGGGAACGGAGCAGGCATGGGACATGGATATTTGACAGATATATCAAAGAAGAGACTGGGCACACGGAGCAAGGCGGCCGTATGACTTCGCTGAAGAGTAGCAGAGACTTCGTTTTAGGCGGGCGCGCTACTGGTAGTGCTGCTGGGTGTGGGGGAGGCACAACAGCAGATGGGAGAAGGGTGGGTGGTGGAGAAGGCGTGAGCATCAACGGCCAGTGCCGGCCCTGGGACGCCGGGATTCTTCCCCACCTTCCGCTACCTGCTCCCGATGTCATCCGCACTCCCCCTCTAGGCGCACCCCGTCCTCCTCCTAGTATACCGCCTCCTCATTCCATTGCTCCTCCTCCTTCTCCTGCTCATAGCGCAGCACCAGGAGCAGCCCCAGGAGCCGCACCAGCAATGGCTCCAGAAGCAACAGCGTCAGCAGAAGCAGGGTTACCTGCAGCGCCTGCAGCTCCTCTTGTTGCAGGGGAATCAGCAGCTTTAGCCGCCCTAGCTGCTGACCTGTGTATTCCCCCCGTTGACCCTCCCCCTCAATCCAGCTCCATCCCTGCTCATTCCCTCCTCGCTCCCCCCCTCTCACCTGCGGAACACAAGGCCAGCCAAGCCCTGTCTGCTGCTGCTGCAGCTGTTGCCGCTGCTACTGCGGCAGCAGAGGCAGCAGGAGAGGGGGCTAAAGCCGCAGGGCTAGCAGAGCACCAGTGCCCAGAGCTTGGGGGGCAAGACGCAATGCGTCTGTTGATAGAGCAGCGAAAAGACGCGCCACAGCAGGCGCAGGTTGATACTGGCGAGTTAATCGGTACTGGTGGGTTGATCGGTACTGGTGCGTTAATTGGTACCTCCCTGGTTGACGATTTGCGAAGGAACGAGGTGGGTAGGGAGCGTGGGGATAAGGCCGAGGAGGCGGGTGGGTTTGGGGATGGGAAATGGGAGGGGAGTGCAGTGGGGTGTCGGCCCCAGCAGTGGCAGGAGCGGCGGCAGTGGGAGGGGAGGGAGGGGGGCGGGCGTGTGAGGGCGGTACGGCAGCTGACAGAAGGTTCAGGGGTGAATGGAACCGGGGCAATGAGAGATGTGGCGATAGGAGGGGCGGGTGCTGCTGCTGCTACTTCCGGTGGTGCTGGTGGTGCTGGTGGTGCTGCGGGTGCGTCTGCTTCAGCTGGTACTGCTGGTGCTGCGGCTGGGGCTGCAGGGTCAGCCACAGGGAGGCATGGCGAAGCAGGTTGGGAGCACAAGGTGGGTGCGTCGCTGAATGGTGTGTGGGGTGGAGAGCAGATTCCCCCTCCCTGGCCTCCTGCTGCCAACACCCCCCCGTGGCCCCCTGCTGCCAACATCCCCCCGTGGCCTCCTGCTGCCAACACCCCCCCTTGGCCTCCCCCCGCCAATCCCCCTTCATGGCCATTCGAAGGTGGTCCGCTCCACCCATGGGCTCTTCAAAGCCAATCTTCGCTGAAGGGGCAGGGGCAGGGGCAGGGGCAGGGGCAGGGGCAGGGACAGGGACAGGGAGAGTGGCTGGGAGGGAGGCAGGGGGAGAGGGAAGGAGAGAGTGAGGGTAAGAGGGAGGAAGAGACCGACGGGAAGAGGGAAGGGACGAGTGATGGGCGAGTGAGTGAAGGAGGTGTGGGTGGAGATGGGAGTGGAGTGCAGGACCCATGGGGGGCGGCTACAGGGAGAGGGGTGGGTGCGGGGAAGGCAGGAGCAGGCACCCCTGCTTGGATGAAGGGGGGATCTTGGGGGGTGAGAGCAGATGGAGGAGGGCAGAGGGCACAGGGCGCAGCAGGAGCAGCTGGAGAAGGCACTCCAGCTTGGATGAAGGGAGGATCTTGGGGGATGAGAGCAGAGGGAGGAGGGCAGGGCGCACAGGGAACAGCAGCAGGAGGAGGAGCAGCTGGAGAAGGCACTCCAGCTTGGATGAAGGGAGGATCTTGGGGGATGAGAGCAGAGGGAGGAGGGCAGGGGGCACAGGGAGCAGCAGCAGGAGGAGGAGCACCAAGTGCAGCAGGAGAAGGCATTCCTGCTTGGATGAAGGGAGGAACTTGGGGGGCGAGAGCAGAGGGAGGAGGGCAGGGGGCACAGGGAGCAGCAGCAGGAGGAGGAGCAGCAGGTGCAGCAGGAGCAGGGGGAGCCATGCGATGGGCACCTCCGAAGGGCGCTCTACCTGCAAGTCTACTAGCTCTGCTGGACGACCTTCCAGGGATGCCGGCGCAGGGGGCACAGGGCATGGGGAGTGAGTGGAAGAGCAGGGGAATTGGGGAGATGGGAGGGGGTAAGGGGGCAGAGGAGGGGTTTAAGGAGGGGGCAGTGGGTTTTGAGAAACAGGATCGTGGTTTGGTTGTGCCTCTGGGGTTAGAGAAGGCTAATAGGGGAGGAGGGCAATGGGGTGGGAGGGCGGGGAGGAGTAGAGGTGATGAGACGCGGAGTGAGGAGGGGAGTGTAAGGCTGAGGGGTGGAAGGGAGGGGAGTGCGAGGGATGAAACCCAAGTGGACGAGAATTTCAAAGCAGGAGTGCTGCTCGGTTCAGAGCGGTTAGGAGGGGCGCCTGAAGGGGTGGGGGGAGCGATGGTCCAAGCAGGGAGGGTGGGGGAAGACGAGAGACAAGGGGGGGATGCCAGCAGAAGACGACTGGGAGAGGAGAAGGAGGCGGGGGTAGGGGGGAGGCAGGCGGATCAGGAGGGGTCGGATTGGGATTCGGGATCGGATTGGGAGTCAGATTGGGATTCGGAGTGGGGAGAGGAGGAGAAGGGAGGGGGGGGGAAGGGGAGGCGCAGGGTGGATCCAGGGGCGGAGACGGAGGGGGTGGTTCGGCTGGAATGGCTGTGGGCGGTGGAGTGGGAGAAAGTGGCAGAGCGCCAGGACTGGAGGGGTTACTGGTGAAGGTGGATGCGCTAGGAGGGCCCCAAAGCTGGGGAGAAGCCGGAGATGCAGGGCGAGGAGGAAGGGCGGTAGCAGCAGCAGCAGCAGCCGCAGCAGCGGGGGAAGCAGCGGTGCGGGAGGCAGCAGCAGCGGTGGTGGATGGGGACACCAGCAACGCGCACTTCCACCTGCCGCAGTCGGTGCTGTCAGCCGTGGGCTGCGCGCTGCAGTCGGACATCACCATTGCTGCTGTGCTTCAGAGCGACAACCGCATTGCGGAGACCGTTCTGTGCCACCCCCCCGGGCTTGTGTCCCTGCCAGTGCGCCTCACAAAGACCATTCTTAACATGTCGCAGGGCAAGGTACTTTGGGGGACCAGGTTACAGGGTAAGGCTCATCAGGGAGGTCTCGGCTCTTCCACTTACCTATTGGTTCGGTTACTTGTCGATTCATACTGCGTACACAACTTTGGTTATGGGAAGAGGAGGAGCCCCTAATGGAGCTCTCGGCGTTTCTTCGAGTAGTGTATCCTTCTCCATCGTCCCCTCTCCCCCCCCCCTCCTCCCCCAATCCTCTCTCGCGCTCCCCTGCTCCCTCTCTCCCCCTCCCCCACATCAGCTGATAGACACGGATCGTCTTCTCCTGCCCAGTGTCATCACGGCTGCGCTCGGTGCTCGCCCCCGCAGATACCTCGCCACCTCCTTCCATGCCGAGGGGTACGCCCTCCATGCTCCATGCTCCATGCCCAGTTCTCCACCCTCTTTCCTGCACGCACCCTCTTTTGCCTGCTTGGGTCAGCACCCTTATTGGTTGCTGCCAATGCTGCCCCTCTGCTTCCCCTCTGCTGACCCTCTGCTGCCCCTCGGCTGCCCCTTTCCCCCCCCCTTCTTTCCCCCCCTCCCGACCCCACTCCAAGCTGCAACGGGCTGTGCTTTGTGCACGGACCCCTCGCATGATTCTGAGCTGACTCAAAATCGCCGCGAGCAGAAGACGACATCCGTCAGACGCCGAGCAGGCACTGCCCCTGCTGCTGCTCGCATGGGGTGGCACTCTCTTCATGCCCCAACAGTCTTCAGTGTGCTGCGTCATGCCCAACGCCCCATTTGCTGCTGTCTGTGCTACCCTCTGCTGCCCCTTTGCTGCGCCTCCTCTCCCCCTCCCCCTCACCCCCCCCTCCACCAGCTACGACGGGCTGTGCTATGCGCTGTGGACGGACCCTTCCCGGGTGCCGCGTGCAGCAGAGGACATCATGTCGGACGCTGTGCAGGCGCTGCCCTTGCTGCTGGCCAACCGCGTGCGCGCCATGTGCTGCGAGCGCATGGGGCGGCGCTTCGACGCCATCCTGGCACGCATGCCGCAGGCCGTGGTGTTTGTGGACGATGGCATGGGCCCCTGCCTCATCAACCCCGCTGCCGCTGACCTTCTGGACTTGCCAGGGTGAGTGGAGGGAGATGAGGAAGGTGTGGGGGGGAGTGGGGGTAAGGTGGGAGAGGGAGGGGAGGAGGGGGTGGGGGGAAAGGGGGGGAAATGCATGTATGCTGCAGGCCAGGGGTTGGGAGTGGGGAGGGGGGGGACTAACGGGGGAGGCGGAGGGGAGAGGAGGACGCCTTGGATGCTCAGCATGCCGTCTTGGCATCCCAATCCAATGCATGCCATGTTTTCTCGGGGTGCGCACTCATCTGTTCTTATTCATCCCATCCCATCCCATCCCATCCCATCCCATCCCATGCCATGCCATGCCATGCCATGCCGTGCCATCCTATGCCATTCCTTGCCCTCCCTCTAATTCTTCCCTTCCTGCCATGTGTGTCAGCCCTGGGAAGATCAGTTCCACCAAAGTGGCGGCAGCTTTCAAGGCGCTCGTGCAACGCAGCTCCACACCCACTGAGATCTTCCGGTATGACCCCATGCCATGCCATGCCGTGCCGTGTCATGCCGTGCCGTGCCATGCCATGCATTGCCATTCTCCCGCCGTCTCTGTCCCCCTCTATTTCATTGCGTCCTCTCGCCCTCTCTCCTACCTGCCCCACGCCTATCAGTTCTGCATTGCCTCGGCACGCCTCTTTCATGCCCTCCGCATCTCCCTCGCTTCCTCCCTCCCTTTCTCCCTCCTTCCCGCCCCCCTGCCCATCTACCCCACACCCCTCGCCCCTCCCCTTGTCCCTGACCCCCCTACCCTCGCACCCAGCTGGCTGTGCGCAGTGTATCCGCCTTCCTCCACGACAGTGTGGAGGCGGTGTGGCACATGGAGGACTGTGGTGCCTTGGAGTTGCATCGACCTACCTTCAACCAGAATCATCACCCTCCGCTCCTCCCCACTCCCCATTCCCTGCACCTCTCACTCCCCTCCACCCGTCTACCCCCCTTCTCCCAACTTCCCTCCCTCCCTCCCTCCCTCCCCACTCCCCATGTCCTGCACCTCCCCCTCCTCCCTCCCAGTTGGCTGCGCACGGTGTCAGCCTTCCCGCACGATAGCGTGGAGGCGGTGTGGCACGTGCAGGAGCCGTGGTGCGTGGTGCGCGTGCAGTCGTACCCGGTGAGCAACGAGGCCACGCACGGCCGTGTGTGGCTGTTTGACGACGTCACCGCGGAGCACGAGGCGAGGGTGGCAGTGGAGGAGGCCGACAAGGCCAAGGCGCAGTTCCTCGCCATGATGAGCCACGAGCTCAGAACGCCCATGACAGGTGAGGGGAAGGGAGAGGGAGGGTGAGTGACGTGATCCTTTTTTAAGGCGGCTCAATACCGCCGTGTGGCGGTGGAGGGGGCGGGACAGATGTTAGAGGAGGGGACAGATGCTTCTGACGTCAATTTAATAGCGCGTGGCCCTGGAGGAGGACAAGGCCAAGGTGCAGTTCCTGTCCTCGCCATGATGAGCCACGAGCTCATGACGCCCATGACTGGTGAGGGGGAGAGAGAGGGATGGCGAGGCAGATGTTAGAGGATGCATCTGTAGTCGATTCAATAACGCGTGGGTGCTTCTGTGGCCGACAAACAAGGCCAGGGCACAGGTCCTGTCCTCGCCCTGATGAGCCACGAGCTCAGGACGCCCATGACTGCCGATGACCGCAGGGCGCAGGCTTGTCGTGCCACGATCTGAGGACGCCGATGAGAGGAGGACCGGGAGGGGCAGTGTCATGGGTGAGAGAAGGAGGAGGTAGAAGTGGTCGCAACCCACCTCCTCTCCCTTCTATCCTTACAAATAATCCTCCTCCCCCCCCCCCCCGCGCCTCCCCCCCTCCTCCCCATTCCCCCATTACGCTGCAGGTGTGCTGGGCATGCTGGTCCTGGTGTGGCTGACTCCTCTCACGCTTTTCGCCCTTCGTACCCCGCTCACCCCGTTCACCCCTCTGCGTTCCATCCTCACTCAACCCTCCACGCTGGTGCTGCAGGCGTGCTGGGAATGCTGGACCTGCTGCGGCTGACCCCGCTGACGGGCGAGCAGAACGGGCTGGTGCGCGTGATGCAGGGGTCGGCGGAGGGCCTGATGCAGGTGCTCAACGAGATCCTCGACTTCTCCAAGATCGAGTCCGGCAACTTCTCCCTCGAAGAGGCCGACTTCTCCGTCTCAGAGCTCCTAGACCAGGTATGGGCTGTTTGCTCGTGCACGATCGTCTGTTCGTGTATGCTCGTGTGTGCTTGTATGAAATCTATCCTCACTCCCCCACCTCCTCGCTTACCTTTACCCTTCTCCACCCTCCCGCCCCTCCCTACCCTTCTCCCCGCCCCCCTCTCGCCCTTCCCTCATCGCCTGCCATCCCCCTGGACCACCCCCAGGTGGCAGCTCTGTTCCGAGGGCGCGCGGAGGAGACCTTTGAGTTGACTCAAAAGTTGTTTTGCCCTTCCCTCATCGCCATGCCTCTCGCCCTTCCCTCATCGCCTGCCATCCCCCGGGACCCCCCCCCAGGTGGCGGCTCTGTTCCGAGGGCGAGTGGAGGAGCGGCATCTGTGGCTCACCATGCACAAGCCGCATGTCAGGGAGCAGGCAGTCAGGGGCGACCCCAACCGCCTGCGACAGGTGGGCATCCTTGCTTTATTCTTTGCTTCCCTCCCTGCTCTATGCCTTGCTCCCCTCCCTGCTCTACGCCTTGCTCTCTTTCTTGCTCCCCTCCTTGCTCTCGGCCTTGCTCTCCTCCTCTCTCTCACTCTGCGCGCAACGACCATGAACGTTTTGGCCTCCAACATGTGAAGGAGGGAACAGGCAGTCAGGATTGACCCCGCCCCACCTGACTGCGAGAGCTGGCCCTCTTTGCTCCTCTCCCCCCGCCCCCTTTCCCCCTCTCAACTTCCTCCTCCGCCCCCCTCTCTCACACACTAGGCATGCAGGGCCATGGCAAATCCACACTCTCACACTCTCTCTTGCAAATCCGATCTCATCTGCTACCCCATCCCCCCCCCCTTTTTGCTCCCTTCGGTTTCATCCAACTCCCCCTCGACCCCTGATCTTCTCCTTCCTCCCTCCCACTTCCCCCTTCCCCTTTCCTCCGCGTCCTCCACCTTTGACGCTTGATTCTCTGCCGCTCTGTTCCAGGTGCTTACGAATCTGGTGAGCAACGCCATCAAATTCACGGAGCAAGGCGGCGTCACCATCACCTGGAAACGGACGCTGCTCCCCCGCTCCGCCTCCACCGCCTCTCTCCGCCTCGCCGCCTCTCCTGGTGCCACGCTCGCCCCCACGGACCCCACGGCGCTCGCTGCTCCTGGGACAGCCACAGGAGCAGGAGGAGCAGGCGGAGGCATGGGGGAAGGAGGAGCAGGAGCAGGGGCGGGAGGAGGAGCAGGAGCAGGGGCGGGAGAAGGGGTAGGAGCAGGGGCAGGAGCGGCAGCAGACGGAGGAGGAGGGCGTGGAAGCAGCCCTACTGCAGGCGTGGTGGGGCACAGGATGGGAGGCATGGGAGGCATGGGGCGGCAGCATCAGCAGCGCAAGGAGCAGCAAGGCACGAGCATGGCGAGGAGTATCAGCGGGCGGGACAAGCACCTTCCCACAAGGAAGACCATGGCCGCGGGAGGGGGTCAGCCCGGGGCGTTTGCAGCGGCTGCTGCGGCGGTGGCAGCGCAGGCAGAGGCTGAGACTAACGCAGCGGCGGCTGCAGCGGTGACAGCAGCAGGAGGAGGGGAAGGAGGGGCAGGAGGGGGAGGAGGGGCAGGATGGGGGGCAGGAGCAGCAGGAGCAGCAGTAGCAGCAGGAGGAAGTATGGCTGGGCGATTAGAGGCAGTTAGCGAGGGGAGGGAAGATTCTGCAGAAGAGGGGAGCATGGCAAGGCCTGTGGACCCATCGCTCGGCCAAACAGCGTCTGCTGGTGCTGCTGGTGCTGCTGGTGCTGCGGGCACGAGAGGACATTGTATGGAAGAAGCCACTTTAAAGGCAGAAGAAGCCGGAGTTAGAACAGCTTCAGGAGCCAACACGACTGCTGCTGGTGATGGTGGCAGTGGTACTGCTGCTTCTGTTCCTTCTGCTGCCGCAGTTGCTGCTGCTGTTGCCACTCATGCGGCTCAAAAGTCGCCTCATGCTGATTCGCCAGCAGCCATCACAGGCACAGGCTCCTCCCCATCCTCCCGGCCTTCATCCCCTTTGTTTATTGACGATTTGGCGCAGGAAAGAGGCCTGCGGATCAACGTGGCAAGGCAACCTGTACAGAAACCAGCCTCTGCCAGCAGCACTCCTGGCCGCCTGCACTCGTCCCCGTTCGCCAACCCCTCCTCCGCCACCTTCCCCTCCAACCGATCGCCACTAGCGGCTTTCTCGCTCACTCCCTCACACCTTTCCAGACCGCATCGTACCCCCACTCGTTCCCCTGGAAGCACCCCGTCCCCCACAAACATGTTCTCTGTGAGGCGGCGCTTCCCCTCGCACTCCTCTCTCCCTGCCAGGTCCCCGAGCTCTTCTCCTTTTGCCCTCGTCTCCTCACCTCCTGTAGAGAATGCCAGGGGGGAGCAGGAGGGGCAGGGGGAGAGGGACGAGGAGGTGGGGTTGAGTGGGTGGTTGAGAGGAGGGAGGGAGGCGGAGGGGCATGGGGAGGTGATTTCTGCTAGGGAGGGAGGCATGGGTGGTGGTGGGAGGGGAGGCAAGAGAGGGAGAGGTAATGCTAGGGTGCAATTTGAGGAGGTGGATGAGGAGACACACGAGGAGACAGGTGAGGAGGAGGAGGAGGAGGAGGAGGAGGAGAAGGAGGAGGAGGAGGAGGAGGAGGAGGAGGAGGAGGAGGAGGAGGAGGAGGAGGAGGAGGAGGAGGAGGAGGAGGAGAAGGAGGAGGGGGAGGAGGAGGAGGAGGAGGAGGCGAGAGGGGATGGGTCTGACGAGCATAGCATGGGTGAAGGGGCTCGGATGAGCGAGGGAGATGGAGAGAGAGAGGAAGAAGAGGAGGAGGAGGAGGAGGAGGAGGAGGAGGAAGAAGAAGTGGAGGAAGAGGAGGATGGGGATGAGGAGGAGCGGGAGGAGGATGAGGAGGAGGAGGAGAAGGAGGAGGAGGATGAGGATGCAGAGAGGGGAGAAGAGGACGAGGAGGACAAAGGGGGGAAAGATGAGGAAGTGCAGGGGAATGAGGAGGAGGATCGGCGACCCCGGTTGTGGTACGAGGTGCGAGTGAAGGACACAGGCATCGGGCTCTCCCCGGAGCAGCAGAGCCGCCTCTTCAAGTCCTTCTCCCAAGCCGACACGTCCACAACCCGCAAGTTCGGAGGCACGGGCTTGGGCCTAGCCATCTGCAAGGGGCTGGTGAACGCCATGGGAGGGGAGATATGGATCGAGAGCGAGGTGGGCAAGGGCGCAGCGTTTGTGTTCACGGTGCCGCTGCTGGCGCCGCAGCGGCCGGATAAGTTCCGAGTGGAAGAGGGCGGGGGGATGGGGACGGTGGATGGGGAGGCAGGGGGGAGCGCACTGCGGTCGCAGATAGGCGGTGCAGGAGGGAGTGGGCTGCACGTGCTGGTGGCTGAGGACAATGCAGTGAACCAGATGCTGATAAAGAAGATGCTCAGACACTACGGGCATAAGGTAAATGGTGTAGGGCAGAGGATAGAGGAAAACGTGTGTGTATGCTGTGAGTGCGGAGTATGTAGAAAGCCATGTAGAAAGCCCTCCTTTGTGTCACATTCACTCACTTTCTTCCTGCAACCATCCATCTGTCCCCCGACCCTCCTTCCTCCCTATCCCTCCCCTGCATTGCCAACTTCCTTTCCCGTGCTCCTTGTACATCGTCTCTCTCCCTTTCGCTCTCCCTCATCCTCGCATCCATCCCCTTCAACTCCCTCCCCTCCCCTCTTCTCCGCCCTCCCTCCTCTCCACTCCCCTCCTCTCCTCTCCTCCCTTCTCCTCTCCTTCCCTCCCCCCTCCTCTCCTCTCCCCTCCTCTCCTCTCCTCCCCTCTCTGCCCCTCTCCGCCCCTCTCCCTTCCCTTCTCGACGTACAGGTTGACGTGGTTGCGAATGGCAAGCTGGCAGTGGAGGCCCTTCAGCGAGTGAACGGGCACCTGACAGGGAGAGAGGGTGGACCAAGTCAGGGAGTGGGAGGCACGGGAGAAGAGGGGGGGCAACGAGGAGGAGAAGGAGCTTTGACACCGGCCGCTGCACCGCCACGCTCCCTCGTATCTGCTTCTTTCGATGCCTCTGATTCGCCTGCCTCTGCCACTGGTGCAGCAGTGCAAGCCAGTGCAGGAGCAGGAGGCACCGCCGCGATGGGCGGATATGATATGATTCTTATGGATCTGCAGATGCCGGTAATGGATGGGCTCACGGCCACTCGGACAATTCGTGGTCTACCCCCGCCTCTCTGCCGAACTCCCATCTTCGCCCTGACTGCTGATGTCCTCACGCAAGCTTCAGGGTCTTTGGAGGAGATGGGTCTGGATGGATACCTGACAAAGCCTATAGACTGGACTAGCCTCTCCAAGGTCATTCAGCAAGTAGCGTTAGCTAGGCTGCAACCAGACATTATTGCTGCTGCAGCTTTATTGGAGCGCGAGGAGCGGGAGGAGTTGAAGGGCAAGAAAGGAGACTGATGGCTCGTGATTTATACGATTGCAGGATAGGCCACTTAGCACTGGCGTGTACATGATTGTGTCCTTTTTTTGCAAATGCAGGTTTAGGGCATGTCACATTTTTCGCAAACACCACTCAGGGTCGGTCGACCATTCAGAGAGGTTGAAAGCGTTTTAGTGATGTTCTGTGCGTTTTATTACCCTATGAAAAACGTGATAAATTGCGGTGAATGTTCAGTGCGGAAGCTGTTCGACCGCGTGGTAAATTGCGGTAAATGTTACACACCCTTAGCACTTGGGAGGATTTGTGGTGGGTTGCTCGAATGAAGAACCTGAACCATCATTATGGAGCTAATTTCGTACGCATGTCTTAGAACTGAATAATAATTGAGTAGTGAGGGAGTACAAGTGAATATACCTGAGTTTTGTACCCTCTAAGAGGTGGCCCTATACAGTCTACACAAACATTAGAGATACACATGTTTGACACACCCCCTAGACTGCATAGGGGCAAGTCCTGAACAAGCAACTCAGGGTGGCACAACTAGTCCAGCCACTGAGACAAGGGTCTAAAGACCAGTCAAAAGGAGTACAGGCAAGGCAAGAACAAGACCACGGCGGCACTACTAGTCCAGCCACTGGGAGAGGACACAAGTCCAGTCTGAGTACTTATAGATATATAGGACAGTACCACGTCAAGGCCCTAGCAAGTGAGAGGCTACAGGAACTAGACCGAGCTGTACACAGTGCTGCTGATGATCTTTAGGCGCAAGCGCCTTCGTAAAGATATCAGCTCTGTTGGCACCGGAGGCCAAGTGTACTACGCGTGCCTGGCGGCGCTGCTGTAGCTCGCGCAGAAGTACCGCAGCTGGATATGCTTCGCTCTGCCCTCGAGTCGAGGCTCCTGACACAGGAGGATCATGGCCCTGTTGTCAGCATACAGGACCGGGGCAGAGCTAGGCCGCTCACCTAAGTCAGTGAGCAAGAAGGTCAGCCAGCGGAGCTCCTGAGCCGCCATGGCACCGGCGTAGATCTCGGCCTCACAGTTGGACTGGGCAACAGACGAGGAGCGGGTAGCTCTCCACGAGACGGCACCTGAACCAAGGCTGAAGCAGTAGCCCTGGGAAGACCTGAGTGTCTCGGCGTCGTCTGCCCAGGAAGCGTCTGTGTGTCCAGTAAGGACCACTGACCTGCGTCCTCCTAGCACTAACCCCATGCCCGATGTACTTGCAAGATAACGCAAAACCCTCTTAGCGACAGACCAGTGCTGCGGTCGGTGTCTACTTGTGGCCACAAAGCAAGCCAGGATGCTGAGAGGGTATGCGAGATCTGGGCGAGTGCAAGTCATCAGATAGATGAGGCAACCCACCAGCTCAGCGTAAGGACCACTGGGCTCTACTGACTCCTCAGGAACTGGAGCGAAGAGTCTGTGGTCTACTCGCAGAGGGGTGGGCCCTGCAGAGGAGAACTGAAGGCCGAACCTCTGAAGGACCTGGCGCACCAAGTGTGACCGAGTCAAGGTGATGGTGCGCGCTGCTCTGTCCCTGGAGATCTGCAAGCCAAGGTAACAGCACAGTTCTCCAAGGTCAGTGCAAGTGTGTCTCTTCAGCACCTCTGCCTTTACGGAGGCCAGTGCGTCCCTGTCTGCTGTGGCAAAGACCAGATCGTCCACGTAAACAAGGATGTAGAACGGAGTCTGGCCAGCACGAACGAAGAGTGAGGGGTTTGCAGAGGACGGAAAGAACTGCAGGTCAGCAAGGGTAGCACGCAGCGTGTCGTGCCACTCACAGGGAGCCTGCTGCAAGCCGTAGACGGGACGCCGCAGGAGCCACTGGGTCCCAGGAGGGAAGGTGCCAGTAAAGCCCTGAGGGCGACGCAGGTAGACCTGCTCATGTAGGCTGCCCTGAAGGATCGCAGTGGAGAAGTCGAGGGAGTGAAGCTCGTAGTTACGCTGAGCTGCTAAGTGTAGCAGAACCCGAAGAGTAGTCATCTTCGGGGTCGGAGCGAAGGTCTGGAAGAAATCCACCCCCTCACGCTGACTGAAACCTCTAGCCACGTAGCGCGCCTTGAACACAGGCGGCTCTCCAGGAGGGCGCTTCACTTTGAAGAGCCAGCGGCCATCGACTACGTTCACCCTAGGCGGGGGAACTGCGTCGACGAAGGTGCAGGTGGAACTCCAAGATGCCATCTCCTGCTCCATGGCAGTTATCCACTGAGAGGTCCAGGGGCCCGAGGTCGCCTCAGCGTAAGTGCGAGGGGTTGGGATGTCGAAAGCGTCTGGGTCACCCTGAGGGACTAGCAGCATGGAACAGAGATGGGGAGCAGCCTCGGACAGGAAAGCAAGCTTGAACTGGCGGTCCTCCAGGACGTCATTGCCGAGGGCAGGAGCACCCCTTACAGACGGAGGACAGGAAGGGTCAGAGACCAGAGCGGTGGCGTAGTCAAGACGGCGGGTAGAGGCGAAGTCAGCGACCGCAGCGACAAGAGCGTCAAGACACGAGACCGGAACGGACGGGTCGGTAACGAGAGAGGCGAGGACCCGAGGAACAAGAGGACGAGCGACACGAAGGTAGTCAGGCAGAGGAGGAGGCGCAACGGTAAGAGAGGATGGAGGAGGCAACGGTAGAAGGGGAGGACAAGACGCGTGGGAACGGAGCAACATAGGGTGAGAGCGCGGGACAGGGGTGACAGGACGAGCGCGGGAGGGACGGCGGGACCAGACATGAGACGGAGGCGTCGGGTCAGGAGACAGAGGAGGGGACACAAGGGGGGAGCGAGGGGGGAGACGAGCCGGGGACGAGTCCGGCGGAGGGAACACAGGGCCGTAGACAGGAAGAGGAGGAGACGGCAGGTGAGGAACAGACGCAGGGTCAGGGGACGGAAGGCCGATCAGGCGAAGGGCTGACACTGGCGGGGACTGCTGCTGCGGCGGTACAACACCAACACCGGGACCGCAAGCTGCTCCTCGGCTGCCTCCGGGACACTCCACTCCAGCACCCCTAGAGCCCGAAACTCCTCGAGCACCGGTACCATCCCCAGGTCCACCGGGGCAGGCCACAACAGGAACCCCAGAACGAGCACCCTCCCCAACGCGGGCACCCCCTGAGTCGACGAACTGCTGCTGCGACGGCGGCGGCGGTAACGACGGGTGCGACGGTGACGACGGCGGAGACGACGGCTGCGACAGCAGAGGCGACGGTGGCTGCAGAGGCTGTGGAGGAGGAGACACCGGGGGAGGGGCAGACAGCGAGGACTGCGCCGCAGGACCACCAGAGTCAGAGGACTCCTCGACCGGGACAACCGACGGGAGAGGGGTGACATGGGACACACCAAAGGGGGCAGGACGGGGAGGGGAAGGGGGGGGGGGCAGGGACGACCGGGGAAGGAGTGACCAGGAACAGGGGGGGAGTAACAGGGGGACCGCGGTGGGGGAAGCGACGGTAGAAGGAGACGGACTCGTCAAATGTGACGTCGCGAGAGTGAAAGAACCGGTGAGACGGCGGGTGGTACAAGTGCCAGGCGAACGCGTCAAGGGGGAAACCGAGGAAGACACAGGGAAGGGTGCGGGCAATGAGCTTGTCCGTGCCAGAGGCACGAACGTGAGCAAGACAGCCCCAGACGTGGAACGCAAACGCGTCACCAGGAGACCCAGTCCAAAGAAGGGTCAGCAAACCTGCGGCCGCTGGGGGTGCGGCCACAGGTTAAGCTGGTGAGCAGCGTAGCGCACGGCGAACGACCACAGAAAATGGGGTGCACCGGCATGGATCATGGAGGTGTGAGCCACCTCCATGACCAAACCGATGCATCGCTTAGCGACCCCATTCTGCTGTGGGGAGTCTCACAGGGTGAACGTCTAAGTGATGCCCTCCGCACGACAGGAGCGACCAAGGACACCTGAGGCAAACACGCCACCGCGGTCGGAGTGAAGACGCAGGACAGGGAGACCTCGGTGGACACGGGCAGAGACAAGCCTGGGGATGAGAGCGTCAGGCACGTCGCCCTTCCGCTCCAGGGGAAAGACTGTGGTGTAGCGAGTGAAGTTGTCGACAAGCACAAGGAACTAGCGCTCTCGACGCGGCCCATGGACGGGGGCGGGGCCCCAGACGTCCCTGTGCAGGGTCTGCAGCGGCGTGGTGGTAGGGGGAAACGAGGAGGAGTGAGGGGCACGGAGAAGCCGACCCTCGACACAAGGCGTACAAGGTGGGGCGGGGGAAGAGGGAAAAGCGGGGAACGAACCAGGGAGACCAAGGACGAGACCGTGCTGGGACATGTGACGCAGACGCGGGAGTGCGGGGTGACCTAGGCGGTGGTGCCAAAGGAGAGTCGGGTGAGTGAGGGACCGACAGGAGCAGGCAGCAGCAACCTGGGTAGACGCTGCCACCTAAAGGGGCGCCCCAGCCGAGGGGGTCACGGTGTCCAGGGTGAACAGGCCAAAAACCGGGTCCCGGGGGAACGTGGACAGGGGGGCACCAGTGGCGGCTTCGGTATAGACAACATACCGCTCATGACCAGGGAACGTAGTGGTGATGCCAAGGTCCTGGAGGCAGCCGACACCAACTAGGTTCCTGGAGAACGAGCGGATATTTAGACCTGTGAGAGAGCCCGAAGGAACTGCCGGACAGGGAAGGGTGGTGGAACTGCGGGCGACTAGTGGACCACCGGAGGGGTCGGCAAGAGAAATTGTAGCAGGAACAGGAAGCGGCGTCAGCGTAGTAGAGTCGCGGAAGAAACACCGGGAAGCGCGAGAGTCCAAGGTGAAGGAAAGCGAAGCAGCGACGTCTGGCGACGGGGCGACGGCAGAAGCACCAAGGCAAAACAAAGCAGGAGCTCCTACGCCTGACGCAGCAGGGGACGCTAATCTAGGCACACCTACACTAGGCGACAAGGAGTAATAAGAGGGGAGCACACTAGAGTCATCAGCATACATCACATGCAGGGCAGAAACAATGGCATCCATGTCTATGTCAAAAATCTGAACTCTACGACTAAGCAAACTGTACTAGTCCGGGAGGTCGGGCGACGGGCCGAAGCGCTGACGAAACAGGTCGTCCAGGCGACGAAAACAGCGGGGAGTGGCGTGACCGATCTTACCGCAAACGAAGCCGCGGCGAGGACCGGTCTGGATCTGGTACTGACAGCGCATGCCTCCCGAACCGCCACCCGGCACACCACCACGCGCACGACCACCACCAGCGCCAGGCCACTCG